ACAGCTTTCTTATCCATTCATCTGCTGGTGGGTATTTAGGTTGCTTCCATGTCCTGGCTATTATAAACAGTGCTGTGATGAACATTGGGGTACACGTGTCTCTTTCAGATCTGGTTTCCTCAGTGTGTATGCCCAGGAGTGGGATTGCTTGTTTCTGTCCTTTATTGTGCCCAAACTTATATGAAATGTTCCCCTGATATCTCCAATTTTCTTGAAGAGGTCTGTAGTCTTTGCCATTCTATTGTTATCCTCTATTTCTTTGCATTGATCATTTAAGGCCTTCTTATCTGTCCTTGATATTCTCTGGAATTCTGCATTTAGTTGGGTATATCTTTACTCTTTTCCCTTGCTTTTTGCTTCTCTTCTTTTTTCAGCTATTTGTAAAGCCTCCTCAGACAAGCATTTTGCCTTCTTGCATTTCTTTTTCTTTAGGATGATTTTGGTCACTGCCTCCTGTACAGTGTTGGGGCAATTGGTTATCACATTTGGCTGTTAACCAAAGGGTTGGTGGTTTGAGCCCACCGAAGGATGACTGTCCTTAAGGCCTTTTTAAGAAACATTTCTCAAAACCCAGATTTTGTCACTCTTCTACACAAAACTGTTGACTCCTTGTCAACTACAGGATGAAGCCCAAAATCCTTGTGGCCGAATAGTAGTGTGATTAGGAGCACAGCTTTAGAGACTGCCAGATGTGAACTTGCATTTGAGCTTAAATTCTAGCCCTATGACTTTGGACAAGTTACTTTACATCGCAGAAGTTTAGTTTTCTTATCTGTAAAGTGGGACTGATAGGTATTAACCTAAGTATTAATCTACCCTTTAAGGTGGTTGAGAAGATTCAGAAATGTAATCCTCATAATCTGCTTAGCACAGTATTTAGGAAGCACATAGATGTTTAGTAGGTAATTATTAACAAAGTCATATCCTTCATAATTTAGACTCTCCCTGCTTTTCATGGCCTCAACTCCTGCCACATCATCTTATTCTAGCATCATTCCCCTGACACCAATTTTCTGTAGTGCCTCTATGCTTTTCTTCTCCTTAAAAATCTCTTTCTTGTCTATCTAGCAAAATTCCAATTCTATAATACAGTGACATCTTCCCACATACCCTTTCTCTCTTCCCAAAGTTCCTAGAACCATTGAGATCATGGCTCCTAGAACCTCGGGAATAGTTCCAATCTCAAATAGTTTCTGGTGTTATCAAGAATGTATTGGGACTTCCCTGGTGGTCTGGTCGCTAAGGTTCTGTGTTCCCAATACAGGGGGCCCTGCATTCAATCCCTGGTCAGGGAACTAGATCCCACATGCTGCAACTAAGACCCAGCACAACTAAATAAAATTAAAAAAAAAAAAAGAATGTATCGAAATAATCCCACTTGCATTGACATGGATGGCCCTAGAGATTGTCATACAAAGTGAACTATGTCAGAAAGAGAAAGACAAAGACAAATACTGTATCTTGTTTATATGTGGACTCTAGAAAAATCATATACAGATGAACTTATTTGCAAAGCAGAAATTGAGTCAAAGATGTAGAAAACAAACTTACAGTTACCATAAGGGTAAGGAGGATGTGTGATGAATTGGGAGACTGGGACTGACACAGATACACTACTATACACAAAATGGGGCTTCCCAGGTGGCATAAGTAGTAAAGAGCCCACCTGCTTGATGCAGGAAATGTGAGATTTGGATCCTTTGGTTGGGAAGATTGCCTGGAGGAGGGCATGGCAACTCACTCCAGTATTGTTGCTTGGAGAATCCCATGGACAGAGGAGCCTGGCAAACTACAGGCCATGGAGCCGCAAAGAGTCAGACATGACTGAAGCGACTTAGCATGCATATATAAAATAGGTAACTAATGAGAACCTACTGTATAGCACAGGGAACTCTACTCAATGCTCTTTGATGACCTAAATGAGGAAGAAATCTAAAAAAGGTTGATGTATGTATAACTGATTCATTTTGCTGTACAGCAGAATTAACACACCATTGTAAAGCAACTATACTCCAATAAAAATCAGTTAAAAAAAAAGAATGCATCAACTTCTCTTCCCCATTTTTATTCTGAAAATATGGTTTTCAAAACACAGCATTTGTTCATACTTTATGATGGCACCTATTATGTTTTATTTTAATGATTTCTGTGTCTGTCTTTCTCATTAGTCTGTGATCTTTTTGCAGGCAGAGACTTTATCATCTGTGTATGCCAGAAATTCCCAGTGTTGAGGACATAGCTAATTCAATGAATTAATTAATTAATGACTAATTGAGTGAATAAGGTATCATTGTCTTATTTTGCCTCTGTGTTGACCTAACCACTCCATTTTGACCTGAGGTACTGTTCTAAGGCATGAATGTCACATTACTAAGGCTGTGTGTGTCTTTGTGTCTGTGTATACACTCTGTCCTTCAAGTTTGTATGTGGGGCCCTATTTTGAGATCACCAGATTGTGCCCCTCTTTACAAAGTATATATTGGTAAACTCCCTTTTCCATTTCCTTGGGGGCACCAGGCCAAGTGTCCTGCTTTGCTCCTCTTTCCACACCCTGCCACGTCACTTGAGTACTGCTATGCCAGGAATGTTACTGGGGAAGAGTGGCTCTATGACTCAGAGGCCAGCCCAGGGATTAAGCGGTAGTGGAGGGAAAGACAAGATTTGGGGGGGAAATATGAAAAACACTGTTGGCTTTATGCCTGGTGGCTCAGATGGTAAAGAATCTGCCTGCTATGCAGGAGACCTGAGTTCTATCCCTGGGTTGGGAAAATTCCCTGGAGAAGGAAATGGCAACCCACTCCAATATTCTTGCCTGGAGAATCCCATGGGGAGAGGAGTCTGGCAGGTTACAGTCCATGAGGTTGCAAAGAGTCAGACATGACTGAGTGACTAAGCACACACGTAGAAAACACTGTTAACTCCACTTTTTGAATTTTGCCTTCATCCATTCATAAATTCAGTAGACATGTATTGGGCACCGACTCTATGCGAGGCACTATTCTAGATGCTTGAGATATAAAAATGTATAAGATGTAATCTGCCCTGAAATGTTCACAGTCTTTGAGGGAGAACAAGTAAACAGACTGACATAATACAAGATGACATAATAGTGGCTATTTTTTGGTACATAAAGGAGAAACAAAGACCCCCAAGAAACTACAATACAGGGTTCTCTTGCTTCAGGAAGGTTGAAATTTACTTCATAGATCAAATTCAAGGGAGGTGATCCCTCTGTTGACCTATGCCTTGGTGAGTCAGGGTAAGAGGCAATCCAAGCATTTGAAGTTTGTCTACTTTCACTACCAAAAAGATGAATAACCCAGCAGGTGGCAGCAGGGAAACAATTATTTTAGATCTTGATGAGGGAGGAGTAGAAGGCAGAGGTAAATGCTTGGGATTATGTTCTGGACATTGAGGTACTAGGTTCCCTTTTAAAGACCCAGAAGACATTCGGATAGAGAATAACTAGGCCCATGTTGGGGGCTGCAATACCCAGGATTTTAAACCCATTTATCTTCATTTATTCATTCCACAAAATAATTATTGAGCCCTTACTACGTACAGAGTTACATCATGGGAGGAGCTGGAGATACAAGAATGAAACAGTCCTTACTCTCTGGCTGTTTAGTCTGTCCAGAGATAGGTCTTCATATTCCCCATCAAGGTTCATAATCTCCAAAATCTCCATAATTGTTAAAACTGAGCGGGGTTAGTACGAAGATTAGACTAGAAAAGGGAATTTCTCTGAGTCTCAGTGACGTTTGGAGCATAAGTAACAGGGAGGCTAAGGGCTCGGATCACAGGAAGACTGCTGTTATGTTTCTGATAGTCTTCCGTGGCGTTTTAGACAGGTCTTCATCCTATTATTTATCAAATATTTACTCAGATCCATCATTGTGCCTAGCATTGCGCTTGAGGTAAAACGTAGATGTTTCGAACGCCATTCAAAGGAAGGCAAGACACGTACGCTTGTTAAATAATAAACAAGGCAGTAAAGTCGGAATAATACTTGGTGGCATGTGATGTTTTGTGATACTTAACTGTTTAACCTCTTTGACTAGACACCAGCGCTTCAGTCGGGAGGTCTTCCCGGGTGGTGAATGCCAACCCGGCACACTCTTTCCTAGAGCTCAGACTTCTCGACCTAGTCCTTTCTAAGACTCCCTTCTATTTTGACTCACCAAGCCACCGTAGACAGAGCCGCACTGTCTTCCTTCCTCGGATTTGCCAGGGCGCGAGGGACCTGTGTCATGTGACCAGACTCAGCCTCCTGATTGGCTTGCCTCCTCTCAGGGCCTTCCTCCTCCCCCATTGGATGGGGTGGCCGGCGAGGAGAAGGTTGGGCGCATGCGCGATACCCGGAGTTCCTTGGCCACCGGGAGTGAAGCGGTGGGGTTGGGCGATAAACAGGCTGTGGCTAGGAAGAAGCGGGAGGGGGAGTTCGCTCCGCAGGGACTCCTTATTCCCCACCTTTTTCTTTTAGGTGTGGTTTGATCCAGACGCAGTTTCCCGGCAGCCGCTTGAACTTACTCTGTTGTAAAAGGGGAAAGTAGCTCCTGCGGAAAGGGGTTAAAGTTGCTAAAACGGTGCGAGACGAGAATTCTCCCCCATGCCATCCTAATGGTTCCGCCCTGAATTGGTCCCGGGGCCGGCGCGACGTATCTGAGAGAGGCCCCGGAGGGGGCGGGGAGGTGGCCCGCAGAACGCGGGTTCCGTGAGGATACGTGGGGGGGATTCGACTCCGAGAAGAGGAAGAGCGCGGTAGAAAAAGAGAGAGGCCGCTGAGGAGGAGGGGGCTGCCAAGATGGCGTCTGCCTCCTCTGGCTCTTCGGCGGTAGGGTGTTCATCTGCGGATTCCGGCGTCCCTCCCTGCACCTCGGCCTCAGGTAATCAGGGCGTGGCGTGGGTTGGGGGCTGATGGCTGTGCGATGGCAGGAAGAGCGAGACCCAGGAAGGGCACCTGTAGCTGGACATGTTTGAGGCGTTGCCGGTAAGGAGGACCGAGAACTAGGCTTTCATGTAGCTTTCAGAGCAGGCAGAAGGAATGTGAGGAAAGGATGGATTTGATTGAGAAAAGGGAAGCTGTCAGAAACACTGGCTGTCTTTAAGGAGACCGAGTTGAGGACTTTGAAGGAGTAGGGTCAGAAAAGGATGGAGATTGACGGTGGGAGTAGGGAGGAAAGAGAAAGGGAATCGAAGGGAGTAGAGAAAGAGTAAATAGAGGCTTCATAAGTAGGGAGGAATTACGTAGTGTGAGAGGCAGGTAGACTCCACGTTGATTGCGGGGTTAATTGGATAAAAACGTGGAAGAGAAACCATGGGACTTAAAAGGTATGGAAGCGTTCTGGGATGCTACCAGTGCTGAGGCGTTAGGGGATTGGGATTTTGTTGGGGGTGGTAGTTACTGGAGGCTCCTGAGAGCCTCCCCCTAATGCGTCATTCCTTCTCACTTCGTGCCTCCCCTCCCCCAAACACGCGCGCGCTCGCAGGAAAGATACACGTTTTGTCAAACATCCTCTGGATATTCCTATCTCTTGATTGCCCAGCTTTGGGAAGGAGTGGGAAGTTTTTGAAGAGAGCCTGAGGTATGTGGAAAAGCAGGGCTTAAGAGACACTGAAAACAAGTGGAGAAGGCGGAACGATGTAGTCTCGAATTGCAGTAGAAGTTGAGGGAGGTGATGCTGGAAATTAGGCTTGAAAAGGATAGGGTGGGGATGGTTCTAAGTGCTGTGTAGGAATATTGCATAATAGGAAATGGACTGGAAGAATGCTTAGGCACGAAATTGGCACTTGGAGAAGGGAGCCAGGGAATCTAGCTCAAAGTAGTTAGAAACTGTTGAAGATTGAGGGAGGGCTAAGGAGCAACAGATTGTGTGTAGGAGGGGAAAATGTGTGGTGTTGGGATGTATGTTGTTGGGGGGGAGTGGAGTTTGAGTCAGAAACTGTTATAGAGCTTCCATCAGAAATGTCTGGGGTTCCACAGTGACTGTTGCCTATACACTGAACAGGAGAGGCCGCCAGATGACGGATGCTATACCCGAGACGTTGACATTTGCTTAATCCTGGGATTGCATCCTACTCGTCTTGAGTTGACTAAATAGAGGGTTCCACCTTTTCCTGTTCAGTTCGGGTGAGCACATACTTGGTCATAAATATCTTCTTCACAAACTGGAGTTTTGTTTATGTACAATCTATTTTTAGTTTCTTGAGAGGTGGTTTTTGCCTTTCCTAAAAGATTAGTGGGCCGGAGCAACTCTTGTTGCATTCTAAGTGTGAAGAAGGATAAAGTTAAAATGAAAGTTTTAAAATACAGTAGCTTCTTAATTTAAAACATCTTTTTCCTCTCCCCCGGTGCTGAAACAAGAATGGTTGTGTACAGTCTTTAAGCAGACTTCTTAACCATCAGATCAGGTATTAGAAACAGCTTAATCTTAAAAGCCTTGTGTTTTTGTGTTTATATCCCAGAATTTGATTCAGCCTCTATCTCATGAAAATATTGTCCACATGGGCAGATTTAGGAGTAAAAGAAACTATTTCTGTCACATAGTGGTGTCTTCAGGTTTTTGCTCCTACTTCAGATAGTCCTACTATCTGTTTTGATATTTGATATTTTTGTATGTTTTTATATTTTCTGTCAGATCCTAAGACTAGCAGGATGTTATTCAGATAGTGTAAATGTTTTTGCTGTTGTGTTTTCACCAGAAGATAAAATAATAGATTTCAGTCAATTTTACAGCTTCTTGGCTTTATTGTGTTCATCATATGTGAGGTCAAGATACAAAAATGGCTGAAAAATTTTTTTTAATGACTAAAAACAAATAGCTTTAGATTCCTTTTTTTTTTTTAACTTTTTTTTCCACCCTCTTTCTCTCTTTCTTTGGCAAATATTGAAACCGTTGGATTAAGAAATTAAGAAAAATTCTCATAAATATTCCTGAAAACATGGAATTATTGTGTGCAGATACACAGTGTTGACTTCTTTCGCATATCTATACGTTCACTTCAGTTTTGGCTTACTGAATTTAATAGAATATTTCATATTTCATTTCAAGGATATGTTTTTGAAGAGGATAAGGTGTTTGATTCAGATGCCAAAAAGGCTATTGAGAATGTATTTTGTGATTGGAGGAGAATGGTGCTTTGTCTGGATAGTATCAGGGGAATTAAGGCATTGGCAGGAATAAATTGGTTTATGGTCTCCTAAATCGTTAAAGGCTAAAAGGCTAGCTTTGTAGAAATTCAAGGTAGGAGTGTGTGTGTTTGTGTTTTAATCATTCTAAAATCAACTTATTGTCCTTAGATGTTTAGCTGAATTCACTTAAATATTGGTGAAACTGAAATCCTAAAGGTAAGATTCTCTGGCAGTGTATACAAAACAAGAATGTTAGGATTCAGGGACAGATTGATGTTTTACATAAGTCATTCATAACCTTTTAAGGTTCAAAATCTTTTGGCATTCAAATTAGAAAGGATTGGTAATTTATTTATTTATTTATTTATTTTTTAAGGATTGATAATTTAAAACATTTCTTCCCTGTCAGTATTAAACCCTTGGCTATATTGTTTAATCGTTAAGCTGTAGCTGGTCTTTTAATGCTGCTGATAGGTTAAATATAGGAGTTAAAGCAAACCATACACTCTAAGAGATGGAGAGATCTTTTCCCATTGGAGTAACTACCATGTATGGATTAGAGGGAGGTGATTATAAATTAATATCAATCTTACAGGAACCATCAGCATTTCCTTGTTCTTATACTTTGTTAATAAAAGGTGATGCAGTTTGCTCTCAGCTGTTCAATGTATAAAGGAAATTTATTCCTTTCCTTCTTTTCTGTCCTAGCCTCATTCTTTGGTCAGTGGTACCACTTAAAAAATAAAAGCACTGATGAGATGCTGTTGACAGTGCGACCATCTGTCACACTAGTGACAGTATAGAGAACCTGTCTCGCAGTTTGACTAGTTCATCAAGAATCTGAAAATAAGCCACCAACTCTCCTTTTTACTACCAGAAAGGGAGTAAAGTTTCTATTTTGGCGACTTGATTTGAATTTAGTGGAGGAGTTAAAAAGTCGAGTATTAAAGTGTCCCTTGCTCCCCTGAAATAAGAGCTGTGATAAAATCCTGTGTGACTCCCCTCAGAAAAAGCACTTGAAACCCTAGAAAATCATGAACCTGTAGCTCCTTTTGCTTTCCGACCAGAACATTTCTGAAATTGACACACATTACCAAATGATTCTATCATGAGTACAGATGATTTGGAGGTAACATTTATAGCTCCTTTTTGATCTACCCTTAAACTGCTGAGGGAGACCCCCAAAAACACAGGAAAGAAACATTTTTGCCCAGAGCTTTTGTAGTAGAGCCAGTCTCATCAGTCCTTGATTCTGCTGGCTTTGTCCTTCCCAGCAGAGCTACGCTGTAATCTGATAACTCCAAATGGTAGGAATTTTGTTGAGGGTTTTTTGTCTGTGTTGTTTGTGTACATTGTAAGCCATTTGTAGACTGATCTCTTTCCCTTTAATTTTTTTGTACTAGTGAAAAGTAAAGCAACTTAAGCCACATTATTGGGGGGAGAAATTGGAGTTTGGAAATGTAAAGACAGAACAGAATGCCATGTAATGAGAATATCAACAGGTATCCTTTTGGTTGGTATTTTATAAGTAAGGAGAGATTTTTCCTTTTGCTTTTTCAACAGAGGGCTTACACCCACATACCCCTCCTTTTTTATTTTGTCCCCTTTTTCTTCCAGAAAACTGACATCAGAATGTCACTGTTTTTTAATTATCCATTTATTTCTGCCATGACTGCTCAAGCCCAGGGTTAGGTATAATTATATAGCCTTAATAGGTATCCAGTATCTGTTATTAATTGCTAATGTGTACTTAAGGTTAGCCTTAAATATCAAAATACATGTTATGTTTTGTTAATTTGTTTTTTGTTTTGTTAATTTCTGTGTGCTGTTCTAAGTTGATGTAAAACTCTTCTGATTAATAACTGTGCTCAAATATGTGCTAGCTACTAGTTATTACATGTTTCATCAGCCTATTTTTTAAATAAAAATAATGGAAACTACAGCCTGTGAAGTGAACAACTTCACCAGGCCAAACTCAGGTAACTGGTGAGAAGTTCTGCGTTGTGGGTGGGTGGTATTTTACCCTTTAAGCTGGATGTTTGCTTTCTTAGAATTTTGGCATTTTCTTACCTGACATGAAGAAAGCAAAAAGACCAACATTGTCAGTTTGGTTTTTCTTTTTACTGAGTGTGTCCTCTTGATCAAGGATACAAGTATACTTCAGGAAGTATGCTATTTTCTGATAGCCAGGCAGAGGGAATCTGTTCCTTTGTGTTCTAAACCCCAGGCCATCATTCAGTCTCAAAGAGAGACTGATTGGACTAATGGTGTTTCCTAGAGGAAACCCCTTCCTGGCTCATTTCCCTTGTTGCACTTCACTTCTCCACCCTTTCCTATCAAAAGAGAACATTGTTTCATTTTTACATATGTGTTGATCCTGTGTTATTCATATCTCCTATGAACTGTTGTTTTAATGTTTTCTGTTTGAAGTAAACTTTTTTCCCTCAGCCCCTCCATCTTTTAAAATTTTGTCACTGATTATTTTTCTTTTTTCTCCTATTAAATAAGTCTGTATTTGTAATGGCTGTATGCAGAATATATTAATTTTTAAATATCTGATTCCCCCAAAGTCCCCTTATTGTTGGAGTCTGAGGAAGACTGGCAAAAAGAGAGAGAAGGGTAGATTCCTTGTAGGCAGTTAAGTATATCTTACTATTTGCTGTGTATTAAACTGAGCTTTATGAAAAAATAAATTAATAAAAAAAATAAACTGAGCTTTATGGAGTTAACCCAGAATAAACACCATCTCAAAGGATCAGTATCATTGATGGGGAGTGAGCAAAGGGAAGTTGCAGGGAGAGAATGGGAAGAGTTTTTTTTTTTTTTAGAATATATTAATAGCTTAATACTAGCTTTCCTTTGCACAACATGCCTAGTAAACTTGAAGTTCTCATTGATAAGAATCTGTATAAAAGAAATGGTAGAGGAGTAACTTGGTCATATCTCTGTGATTTTCTTGCATTAGGGTCTGGTGGGTGGTTGAAGTGCATTGTTGAGACAATTAATACCCATTGTGATATTATTTAAGTTACTTTCTCAGCTCAATGTATGTTCCAGGCCAGCAATACTGCTTTTTTTTTTTTTTAAGATAGAACCAGGTTTGGAAATAGAATTGGGAGGTGGTGAACTGCTGGAAATCTGAACTGCTCCTTAGCTTTGGATTGGCTTATCCAGGAGACTCAGGTCTTTTAAAGAAGGACTCAGATATCCACCCCCCCCCCCCCCCCCAAATTTCAACCAGAATTTTAGTGCTAAGAGATACATATTTGTGGGCTGAGAATCATGAAATGTGGCTTATAGAACTAGAAGCAAAAGTTTATTAAAGGGAAATGCAGAGATGTTTTAATTTAACCCTCTTCTTTTCTTTTTTTTTTCCTTCTTATTTTCTAAAATAGGAAACTGAGGTTCAAATTGTTAATAGTGGCAAAGACTTTGCATGAAGTCTGTATGTTATCGTGATGAGTCTTGGTAAATTTGTGATTCATTCCTTGCTACTCGGCTCTTAGCCAAGCCAGGTTGACCCCAGGACTGGTAGATCAGTGAGTTTTGAGCTTTTGTTTCTAAGAGCATCCTTGCCTTGCAGACCTTTTTCTAGAAAATTCTTAGTAAAAATTGACACCTGCTAGGAGCAAAATCCAACCAGTCCATCCTAAAGGAAATCAGTCCTGAATATTCACTGGAAGGACTGATGTTGAAGTTGAAACTCCAGTACTTTGGCCACCTGATGCGAAGAACTGACTCATTTGAAAAGACCCTGATGCTGGGAAAGATTGAAGGCAGGAGAAGGGGACGACGGAGGATGAGATGGTTGGATGGCATCACCAACTCAATGGACCTGAGTTTGAGTAAACTTTGGGAGTTGGTGATGAGCAGGGAGGCCTGATGTGCTGCGATTCATGGGGTCCCAAAGAGTTGGACATGACTGAGTGATTGAACTAAACTGAAGGAACAAAATTTAACTTTTCTCTAAGATGTGGCTAGATTTTCTAATTGACTTCTTTTAGTTCTTACTGAGGGTATGGTAACAGTGCCTGACCCCCATCCCCCAACACTACCTCTTAGAGCTGTGTGCTCAGCAATGCTTCTCATGAGGCAGGCTGACATTTCTGAGTATTTTTCATTTGGATGCCATATTATGCCTCCTACATGCAGGGGTATAATTAAAGTGGTGTTCAGTATTTCAGGTTAAAGAGGACTAGAGAGATTGTTTGAGATAGTCCAGCAAATAACTGGGTGATGACTGTTTTGTTTTGTGCAGGTTTTTGCTTTTTGTTAAAAATCTCAGGCTGTCAATATTATCAACCAAAACACCCCCTCAGAATTATCATTTTGCTTCCAAAAAGCCTGCTTGTCTCTTTCTGAATTCAATGGGAATTGACAGATTTATGTAGTAGTATTGGTAGCTCATTAAGCTAAGTCTCTGGAATCTCTTCTTTATGACCTGTTCAGGCAAAACTCGTCTGAGGAATTCTCATCCTGCCCAGTTCTAGCATCCTGAAATTAAGTGTGTGCTTCAAGCATTAAAGTCAGTCACAGACTGCCTCTTAGTTTCTCATCTGGAAGATGATGTCATCTCATCTTTGACGGAAATGTTTCTTCTCTGAAAGCACTGGGAGAGGCTCTGGTATTAAGGCCAACTCTTGTTTTGTTCCACATGCTGAGGGGGAGTGGGGGAGGGGAACTATAACTCCTATTTTGGAGCTGTGTACTGTGTGAAAATATCTCTGTTAGGATTATCTCCTCTTTTAAGGCCAACTCATTTCCTCTCTAAACTTTACCTTTTTCACATTTCTCAGAATTGTATTAATTTTCTTTTCTTTCTCTACATTTTCTCCTTGCTGTCAATAGTAAGTCACAGCTGGCAGCGCTTTAGTAGCTGCAAACCAGTTTATGGAGAGTCCTAGTGATGTTTTGCCAAATGACTAGAAACCAGCCCCTTTGGTATCTTTCTCATCACAAACACAATTTAGGCTGGGACTAAGGACCAAAATGGAGTGCTTCCTTAAGACTATTCAGAGTTACTCAGAAAAATTTTCTGTGACATAGTATGATTCAACTTTGTATTTTAGCAAGAATTGATTGAATTATTTCCTCTGTGGCACTTAACTGGCTGGTTCAGTTGTCTTGAAATTATTTTAGTAGCATTAAAGATTTCTCAGCTAATTTTCATAATTTAGAGGGTAGATCTTTATTTTTCAAATATTCAGGAGATACGCTAAAATTAGGAATACCTGTTTTATGGGAGAATATTTATATTCTAAAGGATATTAAAGATAAATTCTTCAGGGAGAACCTGTTAGCATATGCACTAATACAGGTTTGTTTCAGGTTGTATGGGAATCTCAAATAGTAGAGAACAGGAGTGAGTGTATAGGAGTCATGCTTTATTTGTAGCTTGCAGTTGTCAGCAGCTTTCTAGACATCATCTTTCACATTTTTCCTTCTAGTCTATCTCTGTAGCAGCATAATACGTTGTAATGAGCTCAAGTTAATGGGTAGGGAGGGGATTGATGCTGATCTGTATGTGTGGAACTGTTGAGCACTAGTTTACTGGGGAGAATGGGTTATAAAACAACAATAAAGCCATTCCTACATATCTCTTTGTTAAATTACCTGTTTGTTATAGAAAATTTATATACATAAGGAAAATAGAAACTTAAAACTTAGAATATCACCTTAACCATACTATCCAATATAATCATATTTTAACATTTTAGTATATAATCTTCTGGACCATTTTTATGTGTATAAATACATATGACTTTATAGATAATTGTTTTAGAAAAATACTGTACTATATAATTATTAGCTTTTTCCATTAAACAGTTTATTGTGACATCCTGTCTGTAAATGAACATAAGGATAATGGTTCTATACTTTTTCTGTTTTATGACTATACCACAACTTACATCACCTATATTGTACATTTAGATTCTTTCCAATCATAGTTGTTACATACTATGCTGCAATAAATATATTTGTATATATGTCGACTTGACCAATTATTTCTTTAGGATAAATTCTCACTTCTGGGACAAATGATACATATTTGCTTTTAAGACTTTTTGCTATGCTAGATATTACCAAATTACCCTCAGGAGTGGAAGATCCTCAAATGTGTAAAATGTATACACATTCTTTTTTAAAAAGATAGAAGCCCGTGTGCAAGGAGCTTTATACCTGAAATTTTTTTGCCAATCTGAAATCATGCAATAGTGAAATTGTTTGGGTCACAAGTTTTGTAATCACTCCTGGAGTTTTTCTGCCAGAGCTTCTTTTTTTTTTTGACTTTTACCTAGAACTGCAGAAAATCTTCTCACATTTCACAGTATGGTACTGGGGATCAGTTCAGGCCCTGTTTATAATTTTAAACTTTAGAGATGTCATATGGGTATTTTTAAAATATGCTTGTTCTGTTGTAAGCAAGTAGAACCCCAGCAGTAAGTGATAATTTTCTGTTTTTCCTCATTTAGGTCTCCACTTTCTGTGCTGTGGGGTCAACCGTAAGAGAGGTAGATCTGATGTGTATCTGTGCTGAAGAAGCATGAGCTCCTTGCAGTTACTAGCAGCGGACTCCTCTTCCCCATAACAATTGCAAATTTTTTTTTTTTAGTAGTGTGCATGGCCTTTTGAGAAGGCTGTGAGTGTCCTGAAAGATTACTTGACTTCAGCTTCCATTCCCCTCTCCCCTCCAGAAAAATGCTGCCTTAACATGGCAACTTCTTTTCTCACAGTCCCACAATGTAAGATGGATCCACTGACTGTCTTTTGTCTCCCTCAAAGTCTTCCCATGTAACTCCATTTCCTTTTGTTTTAGTAAATGTGTCTCTCTTTCTTTCCCTTTCTGTTGTACCTCTCATTTCCCCTGACCCATCTCATCCTGTAGATGGGATTTTATAATTCACAATGGTAATAATAATTGCTAGTATATACAGAGCATTTATTACGTATTAAGTGCTATATAGGATTTATTTAATTCTCATAACTATCCTATGATGTACGTGTTATTATATCTCCATTTTATGGATGAGGTAACCAAGGCCTAGAGAGTTTTAACCAACTTGACAAGGTTATCTAGTTAGTAAATGTAGATCTAGTATTCAAACCTAGCCAACTTAGGTGTGCTGATTTCAGAGCCCACATTCCTACCCACAATACCTTACTGCTCTCTCACTAATCTAAAAGTCTGTGTGTGAACTAACTTGACTTTAAACCAGATTACATATTTGTTGTTCAACAAAGAATAGTGCAGAGGGGAACTTCCCCTTCTGATTTGAGCTGTCAAAATTCTGAGCTCCTCCATGTGTAATACCTGGAGTTATTGATCATTCTTTCAGAAAATATTTTAGAAGTTAATGTGGATTTTTGCCGAGGATTGGTAACTGATTGTACAGTCAATTCTAAGATCATTAAAACAACAAGACTGCCTATCACATGCCCTCTTTCTGTCATTGCAGATTCAGTGATCATAACTCTTATGCTTTTAATCAGATCGATTCATGGTCCCACTGACACCAAAAAGAAAACTCTTAATTTGAGAAGAATTAAAAACTTTTTCTGTTGAAGTTGTTCATGTCTTTTTATGAAGAAAAGAGGTGCTTTGTACTGCTAGTGAGGACCTTAACTTGTGTGAAATTGCTCTGTCCAGTGTCAGTTTTGAAAGGCAGCTTCTGCTCCTCTAGAATACTGGCATTGTCTGTTTCAAAACAAGTATAATCTCACTGAAAGAAATGAAAGGTACTTTCCTACTGTTTTTGCCAGCGACATTGATGACTGTTGCTGGAGGAACAGAGTGGTGGTATTGTTAATTCCATTGAGAGGAACCAAAGGAGGACTCTTTATCCTTTTATCAATGAAAGTGGGAAGGGAAGGGAATACATCAGGGGAAGAAAATATGTGTTTATACTGTCCATTAGCAGTTGTGAGATTTATTTAGTTTGTAAAAGCATTCTAGTTCCTTTGGTGTTTTCCTTTCCCCCTTAGACTCAGAGTGGCCAGGAACTTGAAAACAAAATATGGTTTAGAAGAAAGAGTTGAACTGGGGAGTTGGGAATGTGAATTCCAATTCTGGCTCTGTCACCACCTTTGCTCTTTAATTTTGAGCACATCCCTTATGCTCTGTTTATTTATAGGTTAAATACGTCTTACTCTTAAGAATTGGGCTTCCCTTGTGGCTCAGCTGGTAAAGAATCTGCCTGCAATGTAGGAGACCTGAGTTCGATCCCTTGGCTGGGAAGATCCCCTGGAGAAGGGAAAGGCTACCCACTTCAGTATTCTGGCGTGGAGAATTCCAAGGACTGTATAGTCCATGTGGTCCCAAAGAATTGAACGCGACTGAGCAACTTTCACATTAAGAATAGATTAAAATCTCAAAGGCCCTTGTTGAATGATTTTTTCTTAATATAAATTGTTACTTATTTGTTAGCTTAAATGGGCATATAGGTTCATATGTGGCTGAAGGGGCTAAGTTCTCAACTTGTTCTATTTAAAAATCAGTTTTCATTAATATCTATAGATCTCAGCCAGATTGAGCCTGCTCAGTCTGCTCAGAATTTTTAAAAAATTCCAGAAGTGAGTATATCCTTGCTTCTCTAGGTCTTTTATTTGTTTAGTTATTAGTGAACAAGCCAGTCTTTATTAGTAAATATGTAATTGAGTACAGTTTTATACATTGATCCTTGTTTATGTCCCCTAGGTCTTTTTACATTTCCATCTTTCCATAGAGGAACTGGTACTTGAAGAAATCACCATGATTGGCTCTGCATCATATATTGACCCACTTAGAATTAAGCTGTTTCCACAGTTACTTTTCTGACACAACCTGTTCGTCATGGCTTTATTTTTTGCTGCCAGTGAAGCAACATTAGCCTTTGGTTTAGAATGCTTCTTGGTCCAGGGCCTATTAATAAGTAGGAACTACATGATCATGAAGCTCAAACAAACATGAAACGTTTTTCCCTGAGGAGGAGGAAATTTAATATTGGAACGCAGTAGTATTGTTCAGTCGCTCAGTTGTCTCTGACTCTTTGCAACCCCATGGACTGTAGCATACCAGGCTTCCCTGTCCTTCACCATCTCCTAGAGATTGCTCAAACTCAGGTCCATTGTGTCAGTGATGCCATCCAGCCATCTCATCCTCTCTTGTCCCCTTCTCTTTCAGTCTTTCTTGCCTTCAGTCTTTTCCAGCATCAGGGTCTTTTCCAGTGAGTAGGCTCTTTGCATCAGGTGGCTAAAGTACTGGAGCTTAAGCATCAGTCCTTCCAGTGAATATTCAGGATTGATTTTCTTTAGAATTGACTGGTTTGATCTCCTTACAGTCCAAGGGACTTTGAAGAATCTTCTCCAGCACCACAGTTCAAAAGCATCAATTCTTCAGCGCTCAGCTTTATGGCCCAGCTCTCATGTCCGTACATGACTACTGGAAAAACCATAGCTTTGACTAGACAGACGTTTGTCTGCAAAGTGAAGTCTCTGCTTTTTAATACGTTGCCTAGGTTTGTCATAGCTTTTCTACCATGGAGCAAGCGTCTTTTAATTTCATGGCTACGGTCACTGTCCGCAGTGATTTTGGAGTCCAAGAAAATAAAGTCTGTCACTGTTTCCCATTGTTTCCCCACCTATTTGCCATGAAGTGATGGGACTGGATGCCATGATCTTAGTTTTTTAAATATTGAGTTTTAAGCCAGCTTTTTCACTCTCTTTTACCTTCAAGAGGCTCTTTAGTTCTTTGCTTTCTGCCATAAGGGTGGTGTCATCTGCACATCTGTGGTTATTGATATTTTTCTTTGCAATCTTGATTCCTGCTTGTGATTCATCCAGCCTGGCATTTTGTATGATGCTTATAAGTTAAATAAATAAACAGGGTGACAACATACATCGTTGATGCACTCCTTTCCCAGTTTTGAACCAGTCTGTTGTTCCATGTTTGATTCTAATTGTTGCTTCTTGACCTGCAGTTTTCCTCACCCAAAAAAGGATGCTATATATGGATTGTGGGTATGGATTATAAGATGATAGCTTATACTTATCAGTATTTTTTATACATGCTAGAAAACAGATTTTCTGTTGACTAATACTCTAATCTTATCCTAATTTAGGGATAAATCTCATTCTCCTTAAACATTGGTTGGATGGGTGTTGCCATTACTGAGTTGGTATTCTTTTCTCTTCTTTTTGTTTCCAATCCCCCACCCCCTGCATCTCTGCTTTCCTCTGTTTCTGCTGCTGTTCCTTCTGAAGAGAAAGCTTGATTAAGAAGAGGTGAACAGGTACTGGTGACTCTTCAGTCTCAGTAGGCATATTCTCATTGACATGAGCCAAGTGGCCCAAGCCATCAAGCCTTAGCAGTTGGTACTTTGTTCCCTAAAATGTTACTCTGCTGTTCATTGGTTTTCTTCTCTACCAAGCTGGATGTTATAGCAACATTAATATGTTTCTCTACTTTTCTATCCTGTCCATTCTTTGGTAGTTTGGGAGTTCTGACCTGTACCCTAGGAGCAAAACTTCAGACAAGGACGAGAATGAGTCTTGATTCCTGTTTCTCCATCCTGTTGTTACTTGTTTTGATGATTATTTTTTAATAATTTTTATTTTTGGTTGCGCTGGGTTTTTGTCACTGCACACTGGCTTTCTCTGGTTGCTGTGAGTAGAGGCTGCTCTTGCAGGCTTCTCACTGCAGTGGCTTCTCATTGCTGAGCACAGATTCTAGGTGCATGGGCTTAGTAGTTGTGGCTCACGGGCTCATATGCCCTTTGGCATGTGGGATCTTCCCAGACTAGGGTTCAAACCAGTGTCCCCTGTATTGCATGATGGATTCTTAACCACTGGACCCCAATCCTATTATTATTCAGACCCCAATATCCTTCCAACTGCTTCAGCTGTAGTGTTTTGGGATTAATCCAGGTTTTGCAGTTGGAGATAGCTAAGTAATTGGCACCATATTCCACTGAATTAAGTCCTCCCACCCTCATTCTGGGTACTTTGCAAGAGTGTAGCGGCCCTGGAGCTATGTGTTTGTGAGATAAAACTAGGAAAGGTAGCAAGGTAGAACTTTTTAGGGAGTAAGAAGGCCCCGAGCTTACACTCTGCCTTGAACTCACTTACCTGCTTTTTTCATTTATTGTTTAATTTGGTCCAGTGACTCCTTGCATAAAGAGGTTGTTCTGTTCTAGGAGAAACTGTCAGCTTAGGATTGGACATTGGCTCTTGGTTCTGTCAGATCCCTCCAAACCCCTTCCTTTTGGATAAAAGAGGAAGAAATAAGCCAAGTACTGACCAAAGAGTCCAGAAACAGTGTTGTTTTCTCAACTGAAAGAATGCTGATTTCTTCATTGAGAATCACTAATTCTACTGTTGTGTGTATACTTGTACAAGGGTTTGTTGGGGATATGGGGAGGCTAAGGGTTTGGGGAGCAGCCAAGAACTTTGAGGTACTAATTAGAATTTCATGATGGTCTAGGTAATTGAACATTAAACCTTCCTGAGGGGCCAACTTTGCTCTTCCATTAGAACTCACATATGACAACATATTTGTGTAGCACATCACAGTCCATGAAGTACTTTGATTTAGTTTATCTCATCTTTACATAAACCTTCTAATATAGATTCTTCTTTTTTAGTTATTAATAGAGAATAATTTGCCTGATATAACAGGGATTTGAGGACTTCCCTTGTGGCTCAGTCTGCCTGCAGTGTGGGAGACCCGGGTTTGTCCCTGGGTTGGGAAGATCTCCTGGAGATGGGTATGGCAACCCACTCCAGTATTCTTGCCGGGAGATTCCATGGACAGAGGAGCCTGGTGGGCTACAGTCCATGAGGTCGCAAAGAGTCAGACATGACTGAATGACTAACACACAACAGGGATCTGAACCTAGGTCAGCATGTTGGCTCTCATCTGAAGGGTTTTAAGATTCAAAGGGTTTGACTAATTTTTTGTTAGTGAGTGCCTTAAATTTTACAGTTAAGTTAGCAGTTTTAATCTTGAATCTGAGTTGTGCTGGCTTACTGTTCCTTGGAAGCTTTAGCTTAGGGTTCCAGTCCTAGGTTCCAGGTCTTTCACCTACCTCAACTTGACCTGATTGCAGATGAAGCATCCTGCAAAAAGCATAGATTTTGGTGCTTTGCTGTTTTTCTAATTTTTTGGGTCATTTTATGCAGCACATCTTCCTAACAGCTAGATGACATTTTTCTTACCTCCTTTTTTGGAAAGAGGAATGAAAACCATCTATTCCCCATAATTTTGCTACTCTGACTCATTAAGGGAAAGGAAATTTTGCTGCTCGGCTTATTGGTACCAGAAATGCTTTTACCATTAAACCTTACATATGGACCAGAACTGAGATTTTCTTACTCAGCTACTAACATGTTATTGAGGATTCGCCCCATTTGGATTCTTTTTTTATTACAATTTGTTTTATTATTTACTTGGCTGCATCAGGTCTTAGTTGCACAACACGGGATCTTTGTTGCATCATGCGAACTCTTTGGTTGTGACACATGGACGCTCTTGTGGTGTGGAGGCTCAGTAGTTGCAGTACTTGGGCTTAGTTGTTCCGTGGCATGTGGGATCTTTGTTACCCAGTCAGGGATCAGACCTGCATCCTCTGCTGTGGAAGGTGGAATCTTAACCACTGGACCATCAGGGAAGTCCCTGGATTCTTTTTAATTTTCTTTAATGTGGCTAATCTTTATTCTCTTTGAATTCTTGAACTGGATCAAAGTAATATATCACTAGTCTTTGAAGAAAAAAGACCAACAGTTTTCAACATGAAGGGGAGAAAGGTCTGTCTCCCTGAGTGATCATGTGTCTCCAGTGTGATCATGGGTGAAGTCTTTAGGATGGCATACCCTTAAGAACTGACTTAACCTTAAGAAAAAAAGAATTGATTTAACCTTTTGGAGTAGTTTTCTATGGATAGTGGTCTTTTAGTCACTTTCTAAATATGTTCTTGAGATCTTTTCTACATTTAAACTGATAAAAGTCATAAATGATATTTAACCACACACATATCTTACACATCTCCACTGATTAAATATTTAGTAAGTAAACAACAAATTCCTGTTGCATTTACAGCAGGATTAAGATGAAGATGTAAGGATATAGAATCAGGTTTTGCCTGCACTGAATGCTTTTTCATTTTTTCATCATTGCGTTTTCCCATCCATAGCTTCTTCATCTCTACAGACCAACTCTTCTTTTAATTGAAGGATAGTTGATTTACAATATTATTTTAGTTTTAGGTATACAGTTAATTATTCAATATTTTTATAAACTATACTCCATTTAAAATTACTAAGTAACGGCTATATTTCCTTATGCTGTACAATATATCCTTGCTTATTAATTTATTTGCTCATTTATTTTATACATAATAGTTTGTGTTGCTTATCCCCTACCCCAGCTTGCCCTTCTGCCCTTTTCACTTCCCACTGGTAACCACTAGTTCTCTGTGAGTCTGTTTTTGTTATACACATTTGTTTTATTTTTTAGATTTCACATATCAGTGACAACATAATGTGTTTGTTTTTCTCTGAATTATTTCTCTAAGCATAATACTCTGGGGCCATCCACATTGTTGGAGATGGCAGGATTTCGTTCTTTTCTGTGACTGAGTGGTATTCTATTGTGTACAGACACACACACGCACACATAGACACCCAGAGCTGCTTTATTCATTGATCTGTTGATGGACACTTAGGTGCTTCCATATCTTGGCTATTGTAAGTAAAGCTTCTGTAGATCAACTCTTTACCTTTTCTTCTGAAATAGTTAGTAGAAATGCAAAGCACATAGATATGCTCTAAAGCTTCTTATCCTTTTAGCTCTACAGGAAAAATTATTAATGAAGTCTAGGCTGTCCACTAAGTCTTTGGTATCTCTTATGCCCTTTCTCTTTCAACCATGGTATCAAATGAGACACTTTGGCTCTGATGGTTAAATGTCAAGAACAGATGTATTTCCTAGAGAAAATGTGAACACTTGGATAAGAAAAAGGAACTAGAAGAAGACTGGAATATGTATAAGGGCTCTGTGAGTATGGAGGAGGAAAAGGAAAGGACATTTAAAATCCCTATCCAAAAGGATCTGGTATCACTGAGCAAGAGGCAGGAACCCATTGTCAGGTTTAGTTTGACTCAAATCCTAATTGTTTCAGTGAGTTTGATAGAGATCATGAGAGTGTGTGTACATATTTATAGTTATGTTTGTTTATTTTTTTTTTTAACAGCATCTGGAATCAAGAGACCCACGGCATCTGAGGTGAGTTTTATATATTGATACACAGTGGTTCTAAAACCTTAATTCTGGGATAGAAGGATACCTGTTTATGACATCCTTATTTCCTCCCTACTAGGGTCTTGAAATCTGTTGATAGGTATGGTTCTCACATCTCTTTGGTAGGCTAGAAGTTATACAACTCTACATTTGTCACAGTTTATTATGCATATTAACAGCAGCTCAGATTTATTGAGTATTTTTAATTGAGTATTTTATTTTTTTATTTCTCTGCATCAGTCTTAGTTGTCGCATGTGGGGTTTAGTTCTCTGACCAGAAATGGAACCTGGGCCCCCTGCATTGGGAGCATAGAGTCTTGGCCACTGAACCACCAGGGAAGTCACTATTGAGCATTTTTATGTGTACCAAATGTAGTGTTCAGTCGCTCAGTCATCTCTGACTCTTTGCGACCCATGAACCACCGCACGCAAGGCCTCCCTGTCCATCACCAACTCCCAGAGTTTACCCGAACTCATGTCCATTAAATCGGTGATGCCATCTAACCATCTCATCCTCTGTCATCCCCTTCTTCTCCTGCCTTCAATCTTTCCCAACATCAGGGTCTTTTCAAATGAGTCAGCTCTTTGCATCAGGTGGCCAAAATATTGGAGTTTCAGCTTCAACATCAGTCCTTCCAATGAACACCCAGGACTGATCTTCTTTAGCATGTATTGGTTGGATCTCCTTGTAGTTCAAGGGACTCTTTAAGAGTCTTCTTCAACACCAGAGTTCAAAAGCATCAATTCTTTGGCACTCAGCTTTCTTTATAGTCCAACTCTCACATCCATACATGACTACTGGAAAACCATAGCCTTGACTAGACGGACCTTTGTTGACAAAGTAATGTCTCTGCTTTTTAATATGCCGTCTAGGTTGGTCATAACTTTCCTTCCAAGGAGTAAGTGTCCTTTAATTTCATGGCTGCAGTCACCATCCACAGTGATTTTGGAGCCCCCAAAAATAAAAACTCAGCCACTGTTTCCCCATCTATTTGCCATGAAGGATGGGACCGATGCCATGTTTCTGAATATTGAGCTTTTTTTTTTTTTAATGTTGAGCTTTAAGCCAACTTTTTCACTCTCCTCTTTCACTTTCATCAA